TAATGATGACTGGACATGTAAATATGACACACTGCTACTTTAAGGATAAACACAGACATGTGGCTAAAGCTGCACTATCAACAAATCACACATGGTACTTACTTTCTGGTCGTTAACGCACACAGACACAGGGACCAGCGTGAACGTGGAGGCTCAGGCTGCGCTCTCCTCCCACAATGGGCTCTATGCACCACTTCCTTGTTTTAGTTTGAACCCACTTGACTTCCTGTGCGCGGGGAACGGCCTGAGTGTCACTGGAGTTCAGATGTTCACACGAGTTTCCTAAATAATGCTCAAAGGTGAATGAAACTGTGAGGACACTGGGCATTTTTGGGACACAGCAGTGCTTTTTGTGCTGTCATTGTGTTTTTATAAAGTGAACTAATCTCTCTGAGTGGCCACAGTCACAGCTCTACCTCAGAGAGAAAGCACAGCCACACTTTTGGGTCAGTCTCAGCTGAATGTATGGATCTAAACCGTGGTGAAGTTGGTTGGATATTGGATATTCAGCAGATATTCAGAGCGGGAAGCGATGAGGTCGTCAGCCTGAGAGCAGCACGGAGCGGACATGTACTCGAGTACACCAGTCTTCGCCTATGTTTAGGGACCGTCAACATTTTACCCTACGCTGATTTTTCACTATGATGAAAGTGGATATAAACAAGAGCGGAAAGGCTAAATAATACAATCAATTCATAAATACTTTAAGAACATGAAAATGGATGATTATAGCCTTGAGAAAAAGACATTTAATTGTAATGTAAACGTTTTAAATCACTTTGATCATTATAGTTACAGTAAAATATGATTTTATTCAACAGTTTTTGAGAAATGTGACCCAGAGAGGCATCCGTAACAGATGCCCGAGCCACCTCAACTGGTTCCTCTAGATGTGGAGAAGCAGCGGCTCTACTCCGAGCTCCTCCCGTGTGACTGAGATCCTCACCCTATCTCTAAGGGAGCAGCCACTCTGCGGAGGAAGCTCATTTCGACCTCTTGTATCCGCGATCTCAAAGCTCATGACCATAGGTGAGGGAGCTCTGACTGCAGACGCTGCTCCCTCATGACCATAGGTGAGGGAGCTCTGACTGCAGACGCTGCTCCCTCATGACCATAGGTGAGGGAGCTCTGACTGCAGACGCTGCTCCCTCATGACCATTGGTGAGGGAGCTCTGACTGCAGACGCTGCTCCCTCATGACTATAGGTGAGGGAGCTCTGACTGCAGACGCTGCTCCCTCATGACCATAGGTTAGGGAGCTCTGACTGCAGACGCTCCTCCCTCATGACCATAGGTGAGGGAGCTCTGACTGCAGACGCTGCTCCCTCATGACCATAGGTGAGGGAGCTCTGACTGCAGACTCTGCTCCCTCATGACCATAGGTGAGGGAGCTCTGACTGGAGACGCTGCTCCCTCATGACCATAGGTGAGGGAGCTCTGACTGCAGACGCTGCTCCCTCATGACCATAGGTGAGGGAGCTCTGACTGCAGACTCTGCTCCCTCATGACCATAGGTGAGGGAGCTCTGACTGCACACGCTGCTCCCTCATGACCATAGGTGAGGGAGCTCTGACTGCAGACGCTGCTCCCTCATGACCATAGGTGAGGGAGCTCTGACTGCAGACGCTGCTCCCTCATGACCATAGGTGAGGGAGCTCTGACTGCACACGCTGCTCCCTCATGACCATAGGTGAGGGAGCTCTGACTGCAGACGCTGCTCCCTCATGACCATAGGTGAGGGAGCTCTGACTGCAGACGCTGCTCCCTCATGACCATTGGTGAGGGAGCTCTGACTGCAGACGCTGCTCCCTCATGACCATAGGTGAGGGAGCTCTGACTGCAGACGCTGCTCCCTCATGACCATAGGTGAGGGAGCTCTGACTGGAGACGCTGCTCCCTCATGACCATAGGTGAGGGAGCTCTGACTGCAGACGCTGCTCCCTCATGACCATAGGTGAGGGAGCTCTGACTGCAGACTCTGCTCCCTCATGACCATAGGTGAGGGAGCTCTGACTGCACACGCTGCTCCCTCATGACCATAGGTGAGGGAGCTCTGACTGCAGACGCTGCTCCCTCATGACCATAGGTGAGGGAGCTCTGACTGCAGACGCTGCTCCCTCATGACCCTAGGTGAGGGAGCTCTGACTGCAGACGCTGCTCCCTCATGACCATAGGTGAGGGAGCTCTGACTGCAGACGCTGCTCCCTCATGACCATAGGTGAGGGAGCTCTGACTGCAGACGCTGCTCCCTCATGACCATTGGTGAGGGAGCTCTGACTGCAGACGCTGCCCCCTCATGACCATAGGTGAGGGAGCTCTGACTGCAGACGCTGCTCCCTCATGACCATAGGTGAGGGAGCTCTGACTGCAGACGCTGCTCCCTCATGACCATTGGTGAGGGAGCTCTGACTGCAGACGCTGCCCCCTCATGACCATAGGTAAGGGAGCTCTGACTGCAGACGCTGCTCCCTCTTTACCACGACGGTCCGATACAGCGACCACATCACTGCAGCGATCCACCTTCAATCTCCTGCTCCATCCTTCTCTCACTCGTGAACAAGACCCCTCCTGCTCCATCCTTCTCTCACTCGTGAACAAGACCCCTCCTGCTCCATCCTTCTCTCACTCGTGCTCCATCCTTCTCTCGCTCGTGAACAAGACCCTGAGTAGCTCAGTTGGTAGAGCGTTGGCCTTTGAGCCAGAAGGTCGTGGGTTCAAGCCCCGCTCAAGACTTTCACCATCGACTCCCACTGACTACTGTTGTTGTGTCCTTGGGCAAGACACTTAACCTCTGGGAACACCAGCCACAGTGGGGCGGCTGCGGCTGTAAAGTGCCAAACTGTCGTTGTGTCCTTAGGCAAGACACTTCACCCCCATTGCCTAGAGTGAGTCTGGTGTGTGTGTGTGTGTGGTTGGTGGTGGTGGGAGGGGCTGATGGCACAGACTGGTTGCCTCGCTTCTGTCAGTGTGCCCCAGGGCAGCTGTGGCTACAGTAGTAGTTTATCACCACCGTGTATGGAGTGAATGAATAACGACACATGTGAAGCGTCTTTGAGTGTCCAGAAAAGCGCTTTATAAAACCGATGCATTATTATTATAATCCAATCAATTTATTTATGTAGCACATTGTATAAAACACGTTTCCAAAGTGCTGCACAGATAAAAGTAACAGATTAAAATATAAAAGTCTGCTTTAAATAAAAATAATGAAAATAAAGTAAAGAACAATTAAAATAAAGCAATTAACTATAGACATCTCTCTGGTCTCTCTCTCTCTGTCCTCTCTCTGGTCTCTCTCTGGTCTCTCTCTGGTCTCTCTCTGGTCTCTCTCATTGGTCTCTCTCTGGTCTCTCTCTGGTCTCTCTCTCTGGTCTCTCTCTCTGGTCTCTCTCTGGTCTCTCTCTGGTCTCTCTCTCTGGTCTCTCTCTGGTCTCTCTCTGGTCTCTCTCTGGTCTCTCTCTCTGGTCTCTCTCTGGTCTCTCTCTGGTCTCTCTCTGGTCTCTCTCTGGTCTCTCTCTGGTCTCTCTCTCTGGTCTCTCTCTGGTCTCTCTCTGGTCTCTCTCTGGTCTCTCTCTCTGGTCTCTCTCTCTGGTCTCTCTCTCTGGTCTCTCTCTCTGGTCTCTCTCTGGTCTCTCTCTGGTCTCTTCTGGTCTCTCTCTGGTCTCTCTCTGGTCTCTCTCTGGTCTCTCTCTGGTCTCTCTCTGGTCTCTCTCTCTGGTCTCTCTCTGGTCTCTCTCTGGTCTTAAAGGAACAATAATGAAGTCTTTCTGGTCGTCCTGTCGAACCATCAATCAATCTACTTTTATTTGTATAGTGCCTTTCCTACACACGGCAACACAAAGCACCGCACAACACACATCAGGCACACATCATAGTCAGATCTACAGAACATTAAACACTTACAATCCCAAAGGGCATTAAACACACAATGGGATCACAAGAACATTTAAAACATCAAAATAAAATCACACAAGTTTTTAAAATCATTAAAATCACAGGTTATTAAGAACATTAAAGTTATTAAAAACATTAAAACATTAAAATCATAAATGTAGCCAAAGTGCACCTAAAATAAGGTTTCTTTTCAAAGTTTTAATTTCCTGGTTCTAGTCAGGACTAATGTGGTCATACTTCCTGGTTCTAGTCTGGACTAATGTGGTCATACTTCCTGGTTCTAGTCAGGACTAATATGGTCATACTTCCTGGTTTTAATCAGGACTAATGTGGTCATACTTCCTGGTTCTAGTCAGGACTAATGTGGTCATACTTCCTGGTTCTAGTCAGGACTAATGTGGTCGTACTTACTGGTTCTAGTCAGGACTAATATGGTCATACTTCCTGGTTCTAGTCTGGACTAATGTGGTCATACTTCCTGGTTCTAGTCAGGACTAATGTGGTCATACGTCCTGGTTCTAGTCTGGACTAATGTGGTCATACTTCCTGGTTCTAGTCTGGACTAATGTGGTCATACTTCCTGGTTCTAGTCAGGACTAATATGGTCATACTTCCTGTGAGCAGCCATTGCAGAAGTGAAGCTAAATGTTCATCTTTAAATAAGAATAAAGTTTTTCCAACAATGATCCGTGGCAAAGAGCCCCATGTCCTCGATCCTATGTCCATCTGAATCCAGTCGTTTTGTTTCCTCTGGAGAATGAAAGAGAAAGATCGCTCTCCAACTAAAGCTCGAGCGAATCAATGAAAAAACTACTAGAACTGTGATGATGTTTTAAGCAGAGAAAGGTCCAAAAGTGGAATATGGGACCTTTAAGGCTTATGGGGAATATGTTATAAGTGCCACAAGTTCCTGATTGAAGCTAAAGGTGACGGACCATAAACAGGGACCATCGACAGAGTGTGACATCACCATCGACACCATCAATGTACAGATATATTGATATTTACTTTCTGCTTTTATGAAGACATTACAGCGAGTTAAGAAGAAGTATTGTATTGTCCAGCAGGGGGCGCTCTCCTCAGATCCACCACAGATACAGAGGAACCTTAAGACCTCAGTCCAGCAGGGGGCGCTCTCCTCAGATCCACCACAGACACAGAGGAACCTTCAGACCCCAGTCCAGCAGGGGGCGCTCTCCTCAGATCCACCACAGACACAGAGGAACCTTCAGACCTCAGTCCAGCAGGGGGCGCTCTCCTCAGATCCACCACAGACACAGAGGAACCTTCATCATCCAGTCTAAACCCAGGAAACACAGGCTCAGAGAAGGAGGAGGTGAAGGTGTGGAGGTGGAACAGTTCTCCATCAGAGACGACCTCATAGAAGGACAGAGATCCAGCCTCAGAGTCCAGGAACACAGACACTCGACCTGGGGAGGAGGAGGAGTAGGAGAGGGAGGAGGAGAAGGAGGAGGAGGAGGAGAGGGAGGAGGAGAAGGAGGAGGAGGTTCCTCTGTTGTTGTGATATAAATAGTAATGTTCCCCATAGACCCCCAGACTCCAGGACTGATCATTGGTTCCAAACCCACTCTCTCTCGTCCCTCTGCGTCTGATTCCTCTGTGACTCACTGCGATCTCAATGCCCTCCCCCCTCCTCCTGGTCCAGTCCACCTCCCAGTAACAGCGCCCCCTCAGGCCAGTGCTGCTCAGGACCTGTGGCTGGTCTGTAAATCTGTCCTGATGCCCTGGACACTGCTGCTCCTCTGTCCCTCTGGTCACTGTCCGTTTGTCCTCAGACAGTTTGAGGATTCTGTGAGCCGAGTTTGGATCCAGAGAAAACTCACAGGAATCTGAGGAAAAACACAAAACAAGAAGAAACATCAGCTCCAGACGCTTTAACCACAGAGTAAAGATAAGTTTATATAAATAACTTTATATAAATAACTTTATATAAATAACTTTATATAAATAACTTTTATATAAATAACTTTTATATAAATAACTTTATATAAATAACTTTATATAAATAACTTTATATAAATAACTTTATATAAAGTGAATGAGAAACTCACACTTCCTCAGACCTGGAACCATCCACTGTTCTCCAGCAGGATCCAACCTGCAACACACAAGGCACTTTAGACCAGGACCAGGACCAGGACCAGGACCAGGACCAGGACCAGGACAAGAGACCAGGACCAGGACCAGGACCAGGACCAGGACCAGGACCAGGACCAGGACCAGGACCAGGACCAGGACCAGGACCAGGACCAGGGACCAGGACCAGGACCAGGACCAGGACCAGGACCAGGACCAGGACCAGGACCAGGACCAGGACCAGGACCAGACCAGAGACCAGGACCAGGACCAGGACCAGGACCAGGACCAGGACCAGGACCAGGACCAGGACCAGGACCAGATCAGGACCAGGTCCAAGACCAGAGACCAGGACCAGAGACCAGGACCAGGACCAGGACCAGGAACAGAGACCAGGACCAGGACCAGGACCAGAGACCAAGACCAGGACCAGAGACCAGAGACCAGGACCAGAGACCAGAGACCAGGACCAGGACCAGGGACAGAGACCAAGACCAGGACCAGAGACCAGGACCAGAGACCAGGAACAGAGACCAAGACCAGGACCAGAGACCAGGAACAGAGACCAGGACCAGGACCAGGGACAGAGACCAAGACCAGGACCAGAGACCAGGAACAGAGACCAAGACCAGGACCAGAGACCAGGACCAAAGACCAGGAACAGAGACCAGGACCAGGACCAGAGACCAGGAACAGAGATCAGAACCAGGATCAGAACCAGAGACCAAGACCAGGACCAGGACCAGGCACCAGGACCAGGAACAGAGACCAGGATCAGGACCAGGATCAGGACCAGAGACCAGGAACAGAGACCAGGACCAGGATCAGGACCAGAGACCAGGAACAGAGACCAGGACCAGAGACCAGGATCAGGACCAAGACCAGGGACAGAGACCAGGAACAGAGACCAAGACCAGGACCAGAGACCAGGACCAGAGACCAGGACCAAGACCAGGGACCAGGAACAGAGACCAGAACCAGGACCAGAGACCAAGACCAGGACCAGGCACCAGGACCAGGAACAGAGACCAGGACCAGGATCAGGACCAGAGACCAAGACCAGGACCAGAGACCAGGAACAGAGACCAAGACCAGGACCAGAGACCAGCGACCAGGAACAGAGACCAGGACCAGGACCAAGATCAGGACCAGGACCAGCACCAGGATCAAGACCAACACCAGAGACCAAGACCTAGACCAGCACCAGGATCAAGACCAAGACCAAGACCAGAGACCAGGACCAGGACTAGGACCTGGACCAGAGACCAAGATCTAGACCAAGACCAGAGACCAAGACATGGACCAAGACCAGGACCAAGACCAAGACCAGAGACCAAGATCTAGACCAGAGACCAGGACAAGAGACCAAGACCTGGACTAAGGCCTAGACCAGGATCAAGACCAGGACCAGCACCAGCACCAGGATCAAGACCAACACCAGAGACCAGGACCAGGACCAGAAACCAGGACCAGGACCTGGACCCGGACCAGGACAAGAGACCAAGACCTGGACTAAGGCCTATCCAGGATCAAAACCAGGAGCAGAGACCAAGACCAGGACCAGAACCAGAGACCAGGACCAGGACTAAGGCCTAGACCAGGACTAGAGACCAAGACCAGGACCAGGACCAGGACCAGGACCTGGACTAGAGACCAAGACCTGGACTAAGGCCTAGACCAGGATCAAGACCAGGACCAGAGACCAAGACCTGGACCAGAAACCAAGATCAGAGACCAGGAGCAGGACCAGGACCAGGACTAGAGACTAAGACCAGGACCTGGACCAGGACAAAGACCAGGACCAGAGACCAGGACCTGGACTAGGACCAGGATCTCGACCAGGACCTGGACCAGAGACCAGGAGAAGGACCAGGACCAGAGATCAGAGACCAGGACCAGGACCAAGACCAGGACCAGGACCAGGACCAAGACCAGGACCAAGACCAGGACCAGAGACCAGGACCTGGAGAAGAACCAGAACCAGCACGTGGAGCAGAAATCAAGACCTGGACCTGGACCAACACCAGAAAAGGACCAGAGACCAGGACAAGAAGCCAGGACCAGGACCAGTGACAAGGACCAGAGACGAATACCTGGACCAGGACCAGAGACCAAGACCTAGACCAGGTCAGTTCAGAGTCAGACCTGAGTTCCTGCAGGGGGCAGTGTGGGTCGTCCTGTAGAGCCTTCAGCAGCTCTGATGAACCTCCTGGATGGTTGTAGCTCAGGTCCAACTCTCTCAGATGGGAGGGGGCGGGGCTTAGAGCTGAGGCCAGAGCAGCCCCGCCCCTCTCTGAGATCAGACATCCAGACAGCCTAAAGACACACAGCGTTACACTCATGTGGACATAGAGGACACAGATGCATCATGGGAGTCTCACCTGAGAGTGTGCAGTCCACAGGGGGCGCTCTTCAGTCCAGAACACAGCAGCTCCACTCCTGAGTCCTGGAGGTCGTTGTTACTCAGATCCAGGTGTGTGAGACTGGAGGAGCTGAGGACTGAGGCCAGAGGACCACAGCTGTGAGGGGACAGTCCACTGTCCCTCAACCTGAGGACAGAGACACATTAGAGACTAGACCCTCCACAGAAGACCTTCAACACAGTCTGGACTCACAGGACTTTGGTGGAGGCTCTGACCACCGGCAGCAGACCCAGGAGAGCTCTCTCTGAGGCCCGGTATTTCCTCAGGTCAAAGTCCTGCAGGGCTGAGTCTGAGGACAGTAAGACGAAGGACAGAGTCGACCAATCAGCAGGAGATCTTAACAAGGAGAGTTCTCCATCTCTCATGTTCCTCTGTATCTGCTGCACCAGACTGAGGTCGTTCAGCTCCATCAGACAGTGCAGCAGGTTCATGCTTCTCTCTGCAGACAGACCCTTTTCATCCAGCTTCTCTTTGATGTACTTTACTGTCTCCTGATTGGTCCCTGAGCCACTTCCTGTCTGAGTCAGACCTGACAGCAGCCTCTGATTGGTCGGCAGAGACAGCCCCAGGAGGAAGCGCAGGAACAGGTCCAGGTGTCCGTTTGGACTCTGTAAGGCCTGGTCCACAGCACAGCGGTAGAAGGTTCCCTCTGCACTCTCATACCAGTCTGAATAATGATCGTCTGAATCCGAACTGCTCTCATCCAGGTCAGACTCAGAACTCTCAGAGGACTGTGGTGTCTTCAGCGGGTTCTCAGAGGACTGTGGTGTCTTCAGCGGGTTCTCAGAGGACTGTGGTGTCTTCAGCAGGCTCTCAGAGGACTGTGGTGTCTTCAGCGGGTTCTCAGAGGACTGTGGTGTCTTCAGCGGGTTCTCAGAGGACTGTGGTGTCTTCAGCAGGTTCTCAGAGGACTGTGGTGTCTTCTGCAGGTTCTCAGAGGACTGTAGAGTCTTCAGCAGGTTCTGTCCAGAGCTGTAGAAGGTCTGATGGACGTGAAGAGCAGCCAGAAACTCCTGCACACTCAGATGGATGAAGCAGTAGACCTTGTCCTGGTACAGGCCTGGCTCCTCTCTAAAGACCTGTGTGAAGACTCCGGAGTACACTGAGGCGGCTGCAGCGTCCAGCCCACACTCGCTCAGGTCACAGTCGTAGAAGATCAGGTTTCCTCTCTGCAGCTGCTCAAAGGCCAGTTTTCCCAGAGACGTCACCATCTTCCTGGTCTGTGGAGTCCAGTGAAGCTCCGCCCCTGATCCCTGCTGATACTTGATGTTGTGGACTTTGGCCTGCACCACCAGGAAGTGTGTGTACATCTGTGTGAGGGTCCGGGGCAGCTCTGGTTCCTCTGTTTGTTCCAGAAGCTTCTGTAGAACTGTGGAGAGGATCCAGCAGAAGACTGGGATGTGGCACATGATGTGGAGGCTGCGGACGCTCTTGATGTGGGAGATGATCGCTGTGGCCTGTCGCTCGTCTCTGAACCTCTTCCTGAAGTACTGCTCCTTCTGCGGGTCGGTGAAGCCTCGGACCTCTGTCACCATGGAGACGCACTCTGCAGGGATCTGATTGGCCGCCGCTGGGCGTGTGGTGATCCAGAGGCGAGCGGGGGGGAAGCAGGCTTCCTCTGATGAGGTTCACCAGCAGCAGGTCCAGAGAGACGGACTCTGTGGGGTCTGAGAGGACACGAGAGCTGCTGAAGGCCAGAGGAAGTCTGCACTCGTCCAGACCGTCAAAGATGAGGAGCACCTGGAGGTCTTCAAAGCTGCAGAGACCTTTGGATGGACTGAAGAAGTGCTGTATGAGTCCCACCAGGCTGAAGCTTCTGTCCTTCACAACATTGAGCTCTCTGAAGGAGAAGGGGAACAGCAGCTGGAGGTCCTGATGAGCTCTGCCTTCAGCCCAGTCCAGACTAAACTTCTGAGTCAGCACAGTCTTCCCCACGCCGGCCACGCCCTTCGTCAGCAGCGCTCTGATTGGCTGTGGTGAGTGTGGGCGGGGCTTAAACATGTCTTCACAGGTGATGGGGGTCTCTGGAGCGGCTGGTCTCCTGGACGCGCTCTCCATCAGTCTGACCTCATGTTCCTGGTTGACCTCTGAGGCCCCGCCCTCTGTGATGTAGAGCTCTGTGTAGATCTGGGTCAGGGGGGCGGAGTCTCCTGCTTTAGCCACGCCCTCAAACACACGGCTGAACTTCTGCTGCAGCTGCTTCTTCAGTTCATCTCTACAAACTCCAACAGTGCTTCCTGAATAAAGACAAACAGCTGTGAACATGTGACCACTGAACTGACCCCGCCTCCATTAGCGTTAGCCAAAGATGCTAACAAACAAGGCTAACAGCTAACATTTCACCAAGTGATTTATACTTGTCAAATATAGATACTTTGATTATAACATAACAAGTGAATTCTGTCCATTCTGATCTTTAAAATGAGGGAGAACATGTGGGCGGAGCTTAAGTTAACACCTTGTGTTTGTGGCTGAGTCGGTAACTTCCATGATCCAAAAGAATGTTCTGATTTGGGTGAAATCTGGGCCCATTACTGATGTGTGGTGAGTGTTCAGAGCCTGAGAGCCAGAAATGTGTGTGTCTCTAGTAAACACATGTTGTGTTGCTAAAGACACAGAGAGTTCTTACTGCTCTGCAGGCGCTGGACCAGCTCATCCTGCTTCATCCTCTTCAGGAAGTCCAGGGCGATCTTCAGAACCTCTCTGCTCTCCTCCTCACTCTCAGAGCATTCTGGGTAATCTGAGGCCAGGAGCCTTTGGATCCTCTGCAGCTGCTCTTTGACAAAAGTCACCACGTCCTCCTGCAGACGCTGGAACAGAACAATAAGAGTTCACAGAGAGACGCTGAGGAGCAGCCAGAGAAGGCCACACAAGCTGCGGTGGTGGACACTCACCCTCAAGATGGCGTCCAGCGGCTCCTTTGGACCTGGATCCCTGTGAAACACACTCAGCATTTATTTAGTGTGCACAATAGAAGAACACAGACTCAAACAGGAGAGAAAAGGACTGTTTCTATAAAGAGCTTCTACACAGCACTAAACCTGGGACTCCCAGCTTCAGCACCAGAGACAACAGACATTTTGCCACAGATGAAGTTGTACGTTTGTGGTGACTCTGAAGTGTTGCCTTCTGGCTCTACAGGCCCTGGGCTTCTTCACCTCATCATCATCACTTTCTCCTGTTGCATTGTGGTCTTGGTGTCAACATGTGTTGATAAAAAGTGGCCTAACAAATGTGAGTGAGCTTCAACAGATCTGTCAGAAAGCTCTTTGGCCACGTTCACACGGAGCTGATCTCAGATCTGCAAATATATTCTGTCTCATTCAGTCTTCCACATGAAGCCAATCCAGGCTCTGAAAGCGGCTCCAGAGAGAAGGCTTTGAAACCAGCGTCTGCAACTGTTCCATCTGATCCACAACAAAGACATTTATCTTTACTGCAGGGTCCTCCACTGCTCCAGTCTCTGGTCTCTCTCTAGTCTTTCTCTGGTCTCTCTCTGGTCCCTCTCTGGTCTCTCTCTGGTCTCTCTCTGGTCCCTCTCTGGTCTCTCTCTGGTCTCTCTCTGATCCCTCTCTGGTCTCTCTCTGGTCTCTCTCTCTGGTCTCTCTCAAGTCTCTCTCTGGTCTCTCTCTGGTCCCTCTCTAGTCTCTCTCTGATCCCTCTCTGGTCCCTCTCTGGTCTCTCTCTGGTCTCTCTCTGGTCTCTCTCTGAGGTCTCTCTCATTGGTCTCTCTCTGGTCTCTCTCTCTGGTCTCTCTCTGGTCTCTCTCTGGTCTCTCTCTGGTCACTCTCTCTGGTCTCTCTCTGGTCTCTCTCTGGTCTCTCTCTGGTCACTCTCTCTGGTCTCTCTCTGGTCTCTCTCTGGTCACTCTCTCTGGTCTCTCTCTGGTCCCTCTCTGGTCTCTCTCTGGTCTCTCTCTGGTCTCTCTCTGGTCACTCTCTCTGGTCTCTCTCTGGTCTCTCTCTGGTCTCTCTCTGGTCTCTCTCTGGTCTCTCTCTGGTCCCTCTCTGGTCCCTCTCTGGTCTCTCTCTGGTCTCTCTCTCTGGTCTCTCTCTCTGGTCTCTCTCTGGTCTCTCTCAAGTCTCTCTCTGGTCTCTCTCTGGTCCCTCTCTAGTCTCTCTCTGGTCCCACTCTGGTCCCTCTCTGGTCTCTCTCTGGTCTCTCTCTGAGGTCTCTCTCTGGTCCCTCTCTGGTCCCTCTCTGGTCTCTCTCTGGTCTCTCTCTGAGGTCTCTCTCTGGTCTCTTTCTGGCCTCTCTTTGTTCTCTCTCTCTGGTCTCTCTCTGGTGTCTCTCTGGCCTCTCTCTGGCCTCTCTCTGGTCTCTCTCTGGTGTCTCTCTGGCCTCTCTCTGGCCTTTCTCTGGTCTCTCTCTGGTCTCTCTCTGGTCTGTCTGGTATCTCTGGTATCTCTCTGGTCTCTCTGGTCTCTCTGGTCTCCCTCTGGTCTCTCTGGTCTCTCTCTGGCCTCACCCTGGTCTCTCTCTCTAGTGTCTCTCTGGTCTCTCTCTGGCCTCTCTCTGGTCTCTCTCTGGTCTCTCTCTGGTCTCTCTCTGGTCTCTCACTGGTCTCTCTCTGGCCTCTCTTTCTGGTCTCTCTCTGGTCTCTCTCTGGTCTCTCTCTGGTCCCTCTGGTCCCTCTCTGGTCTCTGGTCTCTCTCTGGTCTCTCTCTGGTCCCTCTGGTCCCTCTCTGGTCTCTGGGCTCTTCCGCCTTCATTCTCTTCCGCCTCCGTCGAGCAAAGACGTGTCTCAGACGCTCCTGCTTCTGACTGCTTGCTATCTCCTGTTTTTGTCTTTTTCCTGGAGTTTTGCCACAGACAACTTTTAGCAAGAATGGAAATGGTAAATTCGTCCCTCAACGCAATTGATTCTATCTTTTCAACACGTAAGCGTGGGTCTGGAGAGCCCGTGTGCCCGGACGGGACTTCACCAGCGGGGTATACTCTTGACAGCTGGAACAAGTGGCAGCCCCTCTGTCTGTCGACCCTGTCTATTGAAGATTCGGAAGACGTATATATCTTTGGCTTTTTGGTGGTGGGGATCCTCCTGTTTGGGTTTGGAGCGGTTCTATTCTACCATAAATTCGGAGGCATGGCAGTTCGCAAGATTCACGACCTGCTGGCCAACAAAATTGATGGGATGTACAAGGAGCTTAACCGAGTCGTGGTTGAGAGTGCCGTGGCTGGACAAAGGAGAGTGGTGTTAGTGGAACAGTTGATCAGAGATCTCGCAGCTCGTTCACTTGATGGGCATAAAACTCTGGAATTGAGATTGAATGACATTGTGTGTCACGCTTGAACTCTCTGACCCGGCTTGGATTTGCCCCTGTGTACGGGGTCTGAGGGCGCCGCAATTCGGTTTAATTGGATTTAACAGAATATCTGCCTGTTTTTGACTGCTAAAATGCATACTATATTGTCCCTTGTTACAGGAAGATGTGTTTTCTCCTTGCTGTGTCTTCTCCCCACTCTTATCTCACATTCCTCGGGCCAAGGCCATAATAATAAATCTGGTCTCTACAACAATTTCACACTCTTTCTGTCAGTTCCAGCTTGGATCCCGCTCCCCCCGCCTCCCTCTGATCTCTCCCTCCCCTCCCCTCCTCACTGTGTTTCCGACTTACCCCCTCCCTGACCCCGCCCCCCTCTGACAGCCACATTGGGCCGGCTGCGGAGGTGCTCATCCCGAGAAAAAAAATCCGTGGTTTATACAAAGCACAATGTTTTCTATCCAACTGTCTGTTGTAACCTGTATGTTATTGCTCTCTGCTGTTTATTCTACTGTTTGTCGCATGGCGCCGGAAAGATGGCGCCGTGGCAAGAGCTCTGGTGTGTGTCGTCGTCTCTGTCTGGCGCACACCGGGGTAGTCTTGCACAGTTTTTCCAATGTGGTTTTACTGCAAATGGCAAATAAATGAATCTGAATCTGAATCTCTCTGGTCTCACTGGTCTCTCTGGTACCTCTCGGGTCTGTCTCTGGTCTCTCTCTAGTCTCTCTCTGGTCTCGCTGGTACCTCTCTGGTCTCTCTCTGGGCTCTTTCTAGTCCCTGGTCTCTCTCTAGTCTCGGTCTCTCTCTAGTCTCTGGTCTCTTTCTATTCTCGGTCTCTCTCTAGTCTCTGGTCTCTCTCTAGTCTCTGGTCTCTCTCTAGTCTCTGGTCTCTCTCTAGTCTCTGTCTCTCTCTAGTCTCGGTCTCTCTCTGGTCTCTGGTCTCTCTCTAGTCTCGGTCTCTCTCTAGTCTCTGGTCTCTCTCTGGTCCCTGGTCTCTCTCTAGTCTCTGGTCTCTCTCTAGTCTCGGTCTCTCTCAAGTCTCTGTCTCTCTCTAGTCTCTGGTCTCTCTCTGGTCCCTCTCTGGTCTCTCTGGTCTCTATCCGATCTCTCTGGTCTCTCTCTCTGGTCTCCCTCTGGTATCGCAAAGGTTTGTGAAATGGGGCGACAGTAGCTCAGTTGGACGAGCAATTGGCTTAAGGCCAGAAGGTCATGGGTTCAATTCACCTCCGCACTTCTCAATCGACTCCCACTGATGACTGCTGTCTTTGTGTACGAGGGCAAGACACTTAACCACACTTTGCCAAAGCCACTGAAAGTCAAGGCTTGCTCATCTCAGAGAGCAGTATCCTCCTGTGATCACATGCAGAGGGTCAGTGAGGGGTGGTGCTATGAGACTTGGGTGGCATCTCGATTGCACCCCCTGACCCAGTAATGGATTAAAGGGTAGGAAAAGGGATGGATGGATGGGTTTGGAATGGTCCTTTACCATTTGCTATTGGCAATGGTAACATATTCTCTATAAGTTTGAATGCTCTATGGTTGATGCATTTTTATTCTATTTTTTACTCTATTGTGACTCTAAAGCTCGGCTGCAGCTTGAGTCAAGGATATTTAGTTTGTGAATTCTGTCACTTTTATATTCTAAAATAACTTGATTCAAATTTTAGGTGCTCTATCTGAGGATAACATTGTATGATATATTTTAATCTTATGTGGAAATGTGTTTATGACAACAAGGAAAGTCAAATTTTATTTGTTACTACTATTTAATCATTACTAAAACGCTACAATATCATACTTTTCATTTTACACATTTTAAACAGTCTGTCAGTTCCAAGACTAAAAGTCAAAGTTTTTGTCTGTCAGATGTCTGAATATGTAACATGTGATATTGCATTTGGTTCACAGTTATGGAGCTTTCGCGAAAAGTTCACTGTGGTAGACCCGGCTGCTGCTTGCCAGACCTACATGCCTGCTCATTCGACTCATATACCAGCAAGCCCACATCTAATAACCAATAACACCAGGACAGAAGTTAAAAGCGGGAGATGCCTCCCCCAACCTCCCGGCCTTCTGAAGTCTTGCAAGGTAGCATGTCGCTAAGACTGTTTGCAATGATGCGTTGTTTTGGAGGGGTCGCTTGGCTCCACGTGTTGTCGTGGCGTGGCCGGGATGTCCTCAGTTTGGCTGCATGTTGGTCTGCTCCTCCTCGGTCCTGGCATGCTGTGGTTCGCGTGTCTCACTGCTTCTCCTCTGGGGCTCTTTCTGCGGGTGTCCGCAGGGCCCTCCGGGGCTCCGTGCTGCACGTCTCCTCGTGGTTGCTGCCATCGTCCCTCCCCCCTAACCCGTGCGTGTCACTGCCTCCGATTGGCGGTGCGCGTTGTCCCGTTGCTTTTCCAAATTCCTGGCATGTGAGTGTGTGAGCGGACGGTTAATCGGTGTTGGGTGCAGGCGGCTGTTTTTGCCCTGCGTCACTGGATGCAGGCGTCAGTTTTGCGTGCTTGGTCTGAGGTCCGTTTTCAACGTTGTTTGAGCTAACTTGAGGGGCAATGATATTAAATGCATCAATTCTATTGTTGAGGGTGTAATGCCCAGTTATTTGTCTGTTCTTTGTTTATATGCTTTTTGTGTGTATTTTTATTTTCCGCCAGTTGTGGGCGCCCTTGTCTAGTCCCTGGCTGTGCAAGCTCTGAGCTATGCGCAGAAGAAGCGATTCGGTAAGGAGACGAAAGGTGCATGTTAATGACACAATTAAGAGATAAGAGTTTTTTGAGCAGAAATAGCAAAAAAGACCAAGCGAGAGCTAATTCCTCCCTGTACACAGCCAACGAGGTTAGTTCTTGTCCTGTTAATTTTCTGTAACTTTATTTTTGTGTAACGTCTATTTTGTGTATTTATGCTAAGTACATTGTTTTTTATTGTC